AAACCAAACCTCAAAATCCGATAATTAAAGTTAGGCTTTACTCTCCAAAGCTCTCGTCTTATAATACTTGATATTATCGTTTTTTTATGATTTTGTTTGATTAGAGCAGTTTTTATAAAGGATAAGTTTTTAATTTTTTTAAATACTCAACATAAGCTAAATCCTATTGCCGAGACAATTAACAGATCGTATTTATTTGTCCGGCATAGCCAGGTGGTTAGGGCGCTCGACTCGCAATCTGAGGGTCGCGGGTTCGAATCCCCGTTACACCAAACATGCTAGCCCTTTCAGCCGTGGGGGCTTTATAATGTGACGGTCAATCCCACTATTCGTTGGTAGCCCAAGAGTTGGCGGTGGGTGGTGATGACTAGCTGCCTTCGCTCTAGTCTTACACTGCTAAATTAGGGACGGCTAGCGCAGATAGCCCTCGTGTAGCTTTGCGCGAAATTCAAAAACAATCGTATTTATTCTCCCTTCTTAAATCATTAGTCAGCATCGTCAAACAACTAAATGCATTTGGTATTTTCAATCTGAAAGGCTTCTTATGAGACGCTTTGACTAGGTGCTAGATCAGAGACACCAAAGATTCAAGTATATTCATTCCTAGTTTAGAACCATTGATAAGAAGGAGGGCAACCAGTCAACAACACTGCCAACGGTATAGAGGGATTGGCTGCCATTGTCATGACGTCTTCATAGCTAATGATGCAGAGTACTGACCTCCTGTCTCTATTTCGACAAACTAACAACTAGGTCTTTAAATTAGTAAAACATTTTAATCTCATATCGTGCTAGTGACTGATTTTAATGCGTTTTAACAAAACTTGAACTTAATAGTTTGTTAATTATATTTTTTTTGTTTTAGAATAATAATAACTGAAATTCTTATCTTTCTTATTTTTCATTAAAACTGTCAAATATTTCCGATACGAAATGTCTGTAGACATGTTGAAGCGATAAATGAAAATAGTGAAAAATAATAAAGCGAGAAACTATCGAAAGTTTAGCATTAAGTGGTTGGAGTGATGATTAATACTCTAACATAATGGTGAATAAACAGTGGTTTTTTTCTGTTAAAAACCATAAAACGTAGCACTGTTCTAGGATATGACTCTGTGATGGTTTTAGGATATAAGGCCAGTTACTTCTTTCCAAGATAGCCGCCAATATGTTGTTATTGCCTTGTGGGCTTTAATTCTGATGAATGAGTAAACATTTTAATGGATACACGTAATCCTCAAAGCAGCAGACACTTTGCCTTGAACCAAATATTATATTTACAAAATGGCTGTCATTTCCAAGATGGCCGCTGGGAAGGTTACATTCCTAAATTTCATATGCTGTTATAGTTTCATGGACCTGGACTTTATATTTCAATACACACTTTTAGTCCGTAAGTGAAAGAAACGTTGCCTTAAAGCATATATTAATATATATGCATCTCCAAAATGGTTGCCTTTTCTAGTTTAGCTGCCAAAGTATTAATATCTTGAGATTGTACCCATAATAGTATGGAACCATAGCGATGCGTACGAAATTTTCTAGATTAAATAAATAATATTTATTGTAATAAGAATTTATTAATATTAATCTATATTTGCATGTACTGTTGCACACGTTACTGATAGCTGGGATGGGTTTAATAACAACGTTTTCAAGATGTCTGACAAACAACCAAAATATGCAGATGCTTCTGAAGTATCTTATAATTGTCTTTGTTGTTGAATTAAACCAGTTCAATCTTTCTGTATATATAGAGGAAATATTTTAATGTGGTCATTTCTCTGTGCTGCACTGCCTTCTTGACAGTTTATTGATGAATATTTATAACTGCGATAACAGCCTTCTCCACAATTGCACAAGGCAGATCAAATCATCTCAGATTTAACACATCTGTAATGTTCTCTAAATACTTTGTCAGCTTGATAGTTGCACTTCTGTATTTGATGGTAGAACCTAGATGTCTCTAGTAGGATGGTCGAAGTAGTTCAAGGAATTGTGTGGTTGTCTTCACCCAGCCCCCACCTACTTCGACAAGGTAAGTAAGGGTCTGGCAATAATGAGTGTGCCCAATAATATTCAGCCTAGTGTGATACTCTCTTGGTGTGCTGAAACAAAGCTACAGGCGTGGGTGGAACGGTGTTAATATATGTCCCTTTCTTTGTAAATATTTTTTTGCGTTCCTCATCGACGTCCTCCGATGGGACAACGGTAAGTCTACGGACTTACAACGCTAAAATCCGGTGTTCGATTCCCCGCGATGGACAAAGCAGATAATCCATTGTGGCTTTGCTCCGACACAAACCAAAAAGATCTCTAAGGCTGTCATCACGGCGTCCACTGCTTATTCTGTCGGAACATGACAAAGGATTTCCAACGCATCTTCCATGTCTCCCTCTGAGAAGTGAGGCGTCTGATTACAACCATTAAGTGGGAGATACGTGGATTTCTCATCGACTGTGGTATTTAATGTGCTGATACGTATCTGAAATGTTTTCCTTCCAGTAGCTACCCATAGTTTAGAAATGTCAAAGTGTTTGTCACATAAGAACTGCAAGAAACGACATCAGTCTCAACAGCCCGCACTATAACTGTCCTTTCATACCAAAATGTGCGTTATTTGCATGATTTTTAGGTGACGGACATCATACTTGAAATGTATCGATGGTTGTACTCTAATAAGTATATTTGTTGTTAAGCGCAAAGCTACACAATAGGTTATCTGTGTTGTGCCGATCACATGTATCGAAACCCGGTTTTTAGCACCATAAGCCCAGAGACTTACCGCAAAGTCACTAGGGAGCATTCTAAGAAGGATATAAATAAATTTTTTTCTAAAATCTACGTAAATATGAAATCACTTTATTGGTTATAGCATTAATATCGTATTCAAAAAATGCCATTTGGTGATCATGTTTGAAATAGCAGCCATTTTGAAAAAAAAATTAATGGCCTCTTTTTCCGTAACTGGTCAGTATGGCAACATCTTTACCTGTGCCAAATTTCGTGCTTTTAGCACAAAATTCACGATTCGTTTGTTTTCATGCACTATTCTGCTGGACTATAACATAGTTTCATAAATTAAAGTATTATCATACACTAACAAATCATATTTTCTTAGCTTTTATCTAGCGATAATTAATGTAATATGTACCACTATCTGTTGTATCTAATACACTATGCTAAAACGTATCATAATAAAATGGCGGATATTAATGAATAGCGAACTCAAATCTATTAGGGTTAATACGAAAAAACTCTGTCTTTATAAATACTTATTGGAAATATATATATATATATATTTAAGGAACAATCACATGGTGATTGTAGATTGTTAAAATTATAACCATTTGTTTAACGACTTCTATATGTTTTTGAGCTTGCTATATAATTATTTAGCTGAAAATCTTATTTAAATTGTTTGAAGCAAATATATACTCTATATAACGTTTGAACACTATTATAGTAGCTCAGCAGGACTGTGATGGGATGTGTATTAGACAGTTTTAAAATCCTACAAAACAAAATCACACGCTGACAGCCGCCGTTAGCTCCAGATGCAGTTACTGACAGAGAGCGTGTAAGCACGCTAGTTTTTGTTTTTTTTCAGACAGCCACATTGATTATATTATGATTACGTTTTGCTTCGAAAATGCTTTTGTATTTCATTATAAAATGTTGTTCCCAAAAGCAACATTTTTAAGCATATCTATGGTTTGATTATAAATTATACGAATTATATATACATATATATATATGTACACATAAGTTAACATTTGTGGATATAGCGCTAAAACAAGGACAATCAGTTCAAATTCTACGACTTAGATACCCATCAATCAAAGTAACACGTTGTGATTATACTTGTGATGACTGACAATCAATTTAATAATCAAATTTGAACGCTATTACTTATCTATTAAGCATATGCCCACTTCGTTCCTTTTTGGTTGCAGTTATCAGAGTAAGCATGGTAAAATACACCAATAAATTGCCCATTACATCTGTTAATTATGAAGAAAAACAACAACAGAAATATATTCTAGGCACTGTTCTGATAAATTTATATCTTTAACAGTGCTGTAGTATCAACTTGTTAGTACCTTTAAAATTTTTATTTACGACATTCTGAATGACGGATTAAGGGTGGCTGAGCCCCGAGCGGTAGAAGAAAAGCCCCCTCCCGCTTCCCATCATAGATATATTGATTTCTAGCGAACTGGGTCAACTTCACTGTCAAAATCACAATTAAGTCATATACATGTGAAAACATTTTACTGATATACATAGCCTTGTAAAACTGGAAACAATATAGACAAACAAATTTTATTCACTCATGAGTTATCGTGAAGACACCTTTATTAGAACCTGCATGTATCTGTATAAAAGTAGAATGGTATTGTTTTGGCTTTATTATAACTGAACTCGTGAATGAGTTTAGAAAAATCTAGCTTTCGAGGTGTTATATTTTATGTTCAATATAAACAGACTGTTTAGTTGGCTTTGTCCTATTCTATTCTTGAGCTTATTTTTTATTTGTTTCAATTTCGAAAACGATCGCTCCCTACTGTAGTTTGATACCATCATGAACAAGTATATTTTCAGCACTATCTCAACATCAGGAAATGTTTGGATAAGGGCGAGTCTATAGAACATTATTAACTCCACTGATTCTGTTGGTTCAGATTGTGTGAACGAATGTCGAAGCTCTGGAATTGTCAATGTGGAAAACTGGATCAATTCATTTTATATCCTGGTTTCGACATCGTTTGGAAAAGAACGAACAAGGCATTTATTTTGCGACTTGGCTGATTTCTTGACATGAAAGAGATGATAATTTGGAAAGGAGTCCAAATTTGGTGGTAACATTCTTATGTGCACCAAAACGGTATTTCAATGCAGTGACAAGTTGGTCGGCCGCATCGAAAAATTCATTCTGAATTTATACTTGGGTGGTTGTATGGTATCCTCTGCATCTCCATCATCATAGCGACGGTGTCACACCCGTATGCGTATCTGAACTGAACTATACTCACTATGACCAAATAGTTCAGCACCTCTATCTTCGAATTCGTCAAACCTTCTTCTTTGATCTTCATTTTTTTAAGTTATTTAAAGTTAAATTAGGTAAAATAAATGATAATACAGTAGAAACTTTTCACGAGGTACGCTTGCAAGTAGCTCCTGTATAGTGTATTTGGAAAGCTAACATGAGCTGCAGTTCGCCAGTAATTTATGATTTATATTGGTTCCAACAGTGGTTTAGACACGGTTCAAAGTGCAATAAAATTTCAGTATAAATAGATGTATACTGTTACGTGTTTATAACTATTTAGGATAAACATATGTAGTTTCTCGCTACAATTTGAAGTCATTCTAGAAAGAAAAAAAGATAGTAATTCAATGTACTTCTTTTTTTATGATTACGAAGTCGGTCAAATTGACCAGCCCTGTATAGAATTAGGTTAGAGGAAATAACGAATAAAATATGAATCTTTAGTTATAAAAAATGTCTAAAATTTATTTAGGAGGTTTTAAATATTATACAATTGTAATTTGAAACTTTTGAGACGAAGAAAAGTATTTTAAATCTTAATATAAATATCACTTTGCACTCGGACAAGTAAAAAAAGACTGTATTTATTCATGGACAAATTTTTAATAAAAATACTTCATTAAAAAACTGTACAAACAAATTGTAATGTTTACGAAACGTCTGCCAAATTTTGTGAAGATACACATACTGTGTTAAAAGTTATTGTATCAAAAAATGTACTAGTACAAAATGGTCACGTGGTCGGTCCCTTGGACCGAGCCGGTATTGAGAGAGTTAATATTATAAATATTTAACAAATGAAACATCAGATCAATCATATACAAACTTAGAGAGCCCCAGTGACTCAGCGATAAGTCTGAAGTTTTATAAAGCTAAAAATCAGGTTTCGATACTCATGGTGGGTACGGCACAGATAGACCATTATGTAGCTTTGTGCTTAATAATAAAATAAAACAAACATAGAATATTTTCCCAAGCAAGTCCGTCTCAGTCATAATGTAGATAAAAAAATGATTGTAATTCAATGATGGTTACTCTTCTGAATGATTTAATAAGGATATAAAGTGGGGTACTAAAAAAATTCGGCATGTACTAAAAGCTCTTGTTATAGCAGACTGAACACAATATGTTCATTAGCTAATCAGAAAAGCTTTGATTTGATTTGATTTTGAAAATAAATTTTTCCTGGACGTTCTTAGAATTTAATTAACGACCTTTGACACTTGGACGATGTTGTTAAGCAGGACTAAAAAGTTCCTAAGCTAAAGCAAAAATTTAGTACTTCCGTTTAATTGAACTCATTCATTCTTGCATCCATGACTTAAGAGATGTCCTCCCAAAAAAATCTTTCGGTTGAGAAAAGTGTTTTTCGTGATTTTGAAGTTAACTTGGTCGAAGTGTAGGTATGCAACTTTAAACTTCTGAAAGTTCTGTTGTTGTTTGTAGTTAAACACAAAGCTACACATCTTCTATTAAAGCATTCAGCACTTGAGAGGCATGTGTCCTTCAAGTAAGCATTAATTACGGAATTTTCGGGCCCCCCAGTGGCACAGCGGAATGTCTGCGGACTTATACCGCTACAAACCGAGTTTCGATAACTGTGGTGGGCAGAATACAGATAGCATACAGTAAACAATTAAATGATATTATTTTAACAGTAAACAATTAAATGATATTATATTACACAGACTGAAATTGACGTTCTCATGCATGATGGATCTTTATCGATATCCACTGGACTCGCAAGTTTGTACCATCGAATTGGCTTCATGTAAGTTATTTCGTCTTAACACTCAATATTTTTCGAATGTATATGAAATATAAATACAGTATTAAATACGCTTACTAATATATCTAAATATCCCAGAGTCAGTGATATATATATATATGTATCCAAAGTATAGCAATCTGTTAAAAATTGAAACATTAAGAAATCCTTCTTATCAAATCCTATATGAAAGATCTAGCTCTTTATAGCTAATGTGACTTTTTTATATTTATTGAGATCAATGCTCCACTTTGTTTTATTAAAAAAGTCTTTGGGGGGAATTTTTCAGTTTCCAAGACAACTGAAGAACTAAACTTGACCTGGTCCGAGGAAAAACCTGTCAACCTTTACGAAAATCTCAAACTTCCTCAGTTCGAAATCACCGACATGAATACGTCAGTGTGCAATGAAAAGTTCCACATCGGTAACTTACAAGTTAAATATTCTTATAAGTTTATTTCCTAATCAAAGACATTCCAAAATTATACTAGAGCGTCGATTCAATAACATCATCTTATGAACATGAACCATACTGACTTGATAAAAAGTCTGTTATAAAATTACCATTTGTAGAATTGAGGAAAAATAAGACAATTGTACGTTTCACAAGTATTTCATTTATTACGACCATGGTTTCGCCAGTAAAGACATCGAAACCATGATCGTAATAAATGATGTATTTGTGAAACGTACAATTGTTTTGTTTTTGTTCTTAATTCTGTAATTAATTGTCCACCGGTGGGACAGCGGTAAGTCATCGGCTTTACAATGCTAAAATCAGGGGTTAGGCTCCCTCTGGCAGATAGTCAGATGTGACTTTGCTATAAAAAAATACACATAAATACACAATTATGGAGTTTCGCCAATACCGACAGTTTCAGTTATATATATATAACATCATTTTTTTATAATAGAAATAATGAAAATTGTGTGTTAGATTTGGGAACCATGTGTATTTTAAAGTTTGGGAAGGTGTTCAACATAACTTCAGGTTAATATAGGGTTTCAGGTTTATTATAATACCTACATATGATTGTGTTAACCCTAGAAATTTCAAACTTTTTTCCAAAGTTGGCAGATCTTTTTCCATGTCTAATAAAATAAATTGAATCTCAATCTTTGGCCACCCCCACCCCCAGTGGCACAGCGGTATGTCTGCGGACTTACAACGCTAGAATCTGGGTTTCGATACCCATGGTGGGCAGAGCACAGATAACCCATTGTGTAGCTTTGTGCTTAATTACAAACAAACAAACTCAATCCTTGCTTTTCAGTAGCACAAGTCAATGTTTAACAGCAGCAGAGAAATATCAAAGTCCTTACTCATACAAATCAGATCCCCCCCGGATGACTAGTGGTAAGTCTGAGGGCTTATAACGCTAAAAATCGGGTTTCGATAGCCGCAGTGGTCAGAGCATAGATAACCTATTGTATACTTCGTGCTGAACAACAAACTAACTTCCAAAATAAATGATAATATAGTATTTTCACTAAACCACCCCAAAATACATATACACACACACATAAATATACATATATATATATATATATATACACACATGTACTAAATTAATACTTTCACATCATTTGCTTAGAAAAAAATTGTTCAATTTTAATCACGGCGATCATTGGCTGCGCTCAGATCTATTTCATCTACAGAGTTCTCAGATACAAGAACATAAATTATTCAACTTTTCTACTTTTACGTGTATTTTACAGTCGCTTAACATCCTTCTAAAGTTGTTCTGTCAGTGGATATGTGGAATTTTATTTTCATAGTAAATCTTAACATTTTATTTAAATCAGTCATTGTAGTAAATTGTAATACATTTATTCTCATGATATTAAATTGTAAGGTTGGTTTAGTTCTCTTAAGGTTGGACAGCGGTAAGTCTAAGGACTTACAACGCTATAATCCGGTGGACACAGCAGATAGCCAGCCCACTGTGGCTTTGTACTGAGAAACAAACAATTCTCCTAAGAACATAGCAAAATACTCATCTTAGTTCTCTCGCTGTTAAGCCTTTTTTATTTTTATTTTCTAAGTTGTGACATAGGAAGACAACGACAATAAGGTGGATAAGTATTTTCTTGTTTTTATTTACGTGTATTTACTCAATTCGAGCGACTAGGATAACAAGAAATCCCTTTTCTGGATAAATATTTATTTCTTAATAGATGACATAAAAACCATAAAAAGCAGATCGATTATCTAAGGATTTACTTTGTATTTTACGGCGTTCCTTTATTGCTTGTAAGGTTTGTATGCTTTTTTTTTTCTTGTAAACTGCTCATTGGGCAATTATGACACGTGACTTGTAGCGTGATGGCACAGTTTAATAAACGTTAACACGATTGATTTGTTGGTTTTAGATTTTTCGCACAAGACTATGTGGAAAAAAAAGCGTTCCTGATTTTAAGCCTGTAGAATAGAGGGAAGGAAGCTTCTCAACAATACATATTACAAAATATTTCACTACTGTTTTCTAACCGAAAAGTAGGACTTAACCATCACTCATATAGCGCATAAATATTTTTGAAACAACGGGAGGACGCGGACAGTGAACCTTCGAGTTCACAGTTCGGGACATACTAGTCTTTAGGTCATGTCCAGCCCGAGTTAAAAATAAGTATTACATAATGACAAATCGTATCTAAATGAGATACCAATTATTACATAGCAAAACTTATATATGTAATATACTTCTAACAAACCAACACCGCAACAGATGTGTTTTTGTTTGTTTGAAAATAAGCACAAAGCTACACAATGGGCTATCTGTGCTCTGCCCACCAGGGGTATCGAAACCCGGTTTCTAGTGTTGTAAGTCCGCAGTGTTGTAAGACATATAACAGATTATTTAGTGTTAAACAGAACAAATTATTTCCAAATTTGTAAAAGAAAAAGGTTTAAAAAAGAATTGAATAGATAATAAGTTCTTCAAACTGTTAATATCTTGTATTTTTATTGTTTTACAAATGATGTTGCAGGTGAGTACAGCTGCTTAAAGGCTGAGTTTTATCTACAAAGATCAATCGGATATCACCTGGTACAATCTTACCTTCCCACAGTCTTAATCGTTGTCATTTCTTGGGTGTCCTTTTGGCTAAACGTCGAGGCAATTCCTGCCAGAATAACCCTTGGCGTCACTACTCTGCTGACTATTTCCTCAAAGGGTTCTGGTATCCAGAATAACTTGCCTCCTGTTTCGTACGTGAAGGCGATGGATGTTTGGATGGGGGCGTGTACTACCTTCGTCTTCGCTGCTCTTCTGGAGTTCATCATTGTCAACTATCTCTGGAGAAAACGCATAGAAAGTTCGTCTTCTGTTGCTACAGATGCGAGCCAGATCTCTCTAAAACTGGTAAATGAGTATTTTTGTTTTGATCAGTGTACTAATTTAATTTTAATGCCACATTCTTGTCATTATTGCTAAATTTCCATTACATTTTATGCAACCTGTTACAAATACAATGAATACGATTGTCTTCAGATTGGGTTTATATCTATTCGATTTTAGGAATCCAAAGAGGAAGTTAAATATTAAACACATATACTCCTACTTTAGGTGAAGATACTAAATACAGCAGTTACTTTTGTTTATTAGCCTTATAAATACTTTATTGTTGCAACTTGAAACATTGATTTTTTTTTTGTTCTGTTTAGAAAGTTATAAGTTTGATAAACAACTGAAAGTTAAGTCCTCTGTGATAGAAAATAACACAGGAAGAGAGTTCTTGTTCTTGGAAATACCGAATGTGGGACTTAGTTTGATAATGTTAACTTTATTTACAAATAAATAATGTAAAATAAAGGTCACTAGTGGACAAGTATGAGGGAGAAAAATTGTTTCAACGTGACACAAATCACTCAGCCAAACATGTTATTTCTTAATTAACTTTTTTTTGTCACCGTTTACCTTAACGGACTTTAAATCTTCTTCTATAATATATGAAGATTTATTTGCTGAGATAAAGTCCAGTATTTGGTATGAAGTTACCTCATAAGTTCATAGAGTCCAATTAACTCAAATTATATCGGTGCTATGAAAACATTTGGAGCAGAAAGCGTAAGCAGTGACATATATATATCCTTCAAAACTTGCTGAATGTATCTTTTTTTTAAAGTTGAAAGGTTAAAATGTTCACTCACGAATATACAAGGCTGTAGAAAAACTTTCCATTAAATATAGTCTTATCAAACTCCTGGTTTTACATTAATGTCTTCTTGCAAAGCAATAATTCCAAAACAGTGGCAAATTACATGAAAAACGTTTTATAATTTGATCATTCACAGTACAAAATTTTGGGCATAAACACTAATCTTCAGCTGACAGTCCACCTCAGTGCAATGAAAGTTCGAATGTCTGAGAGTCTTTATGGTGTTATAGCATCTAGCAAGTTTGAGGTCGAACGCGACGGTCTGTATAAAACTCCCAGATCCTTACAAACCAGAGTGATCCAACCCCAGCTCTTGTCAAAGCAATGAAAAAATTGTCGTTAACAACTGAAGGTGCAGTTTGCACATAGAAGTTATTATGTTCTATTGGATGTTATGACAAAACATAAAATGGTAAACCATAGAAGTTATGATGTTCTATTGGATGTTATGACAAAACATAAAATGGTAAACCATAGAAGTTATTATGTTCTATTGGATGCTATGAAAAAACATAAAATGGTAAATCATAGAAGTTATGATGTCCTATTGGATGCTATGACAAAACATAAAATGGTAAACCATAGAAGTTATTATGTTCTATTGGATGCTATGAAAAAACATAAAATGGTAAATCATAGAAGTTATGATGTCCTATTGGATGCTATGACAAAACATAAAATGGTAAACCATAAAAGTTATTATGTTCTATTGGATGCTATGAAAAAACATAAAATGCTAAATCGTAGTAGTTATGATGCCCTATGGTTTACCATTTTATGTTTTATCATAGTATCCGATATTTACCATTTTATGTTTTGTCATAGCATCCAATAGAACATAATAACTTCTATGGTTTACCATTTTATGTTTTGTCATAACATCCAATAGAACATCATAACTTCTATGGTTTACCATTTTATGTTTTGTCATACATCCAATAGAACATCATAACTTCTATGGTTTACCATTTTATGTTTTGTCATAGCATCCAATAGGACATCATAACTTCCCATAAAAGTTATGATGTCCTATCGGATGCTATGACAAAACATAAAATGGTAAATTGTTGTTTATTTCACTTATTCTACGGTAAGTCATTCATTTAGGAAAAGCATAATGTAAGTGTTGCTATGTTTAGTCGGAGCAAAATAAATATATTAATTTAAATAACTAGAGTTTAAAAGCAGGTATAAGAATTAAACACAATTATATTGGTCGTGTTAAAATTAAGGCATAAACAATGCCTTTCTTTCATTTATATTTGTATAAATATTGAGCTATTTCTTGCATTATATGATTCAAGCTATAAAGTATCTACAGTTTGGACATTTTAAGTTAACAAGAAATACAGTCTTTTCCAGGAATATCTAATTGTAAGACAGTGTATGGATAGGCATGTATGCAAGCCGTAAAATCAAACTATACTGTATTACGTGTGGTTAATGTGATGCGTAAGATATAAATATTTAATGTTTGAATGTTTTGTGTTAATACGAAAAATACTCTTCTAAAGAGGTTGTAACTTAAAGTAATATATGTATAATTGCATAAGAAAGTCATAAAGTACGAAATACAAATACACATAAACTGTAATGCAGTGTAATATTATGTTAAATATTGATTTTACATATTCAAAAGCAATATTTACTATTGTTATTGAAACGAAACTATAAGGATACTCTTAATAGTAATGTAAAAACTAATATCGTGTTAAATAGTTTAGAGATTTCGTATAACATGACACAAATTGACATTGATAATTCACTCATCTGGTGATTCGCTTGTAAAAAACATAACAAACAACTGACCACGCCCCATAGAGTATCTCAGTGGTCACCTCTAGTAGCAAATTTTGGAACTACCTGCATCCTAGTAATGCAACTTGAAAGTATTCGCACCTGGTGGCACATTTTGAAACTATCTGAGATTTTATGTAAATATTACGTCACGTGACTTCCCGATCTCAAAGGATACTTAGCACAGATTAGAACTCTTTCATCGTTAATCTCTTCACACTTATCCCCACCCACCCACCGAGGCTGCTTTGAAGGGTAAAACAGGAGGGTTAATTGTGACGTGAAAAATTGTTTGTTTTATAGAATGTGTGTGCGTTTTATGAGGATACCTTCTAGCGTTCCAACGACTTTAAAAATATAAATTCAACCAGTCATGACAAATATATATATATATATGTATGTCCTTACTTTTGCTTTTTGTTCTCAGTATGTTTCTATAGTCGTTATTTAATGAAAAGGTTTCAATCATCTAATACGCTCTGCAAGTTTTAATAAATATGCCGAAAACAAACCTGTTTATTAATTTAATTCAAATCAATTCACGGTAAAATAGCTCAATAAAGCTATAATTTCAAAAAGTATTCTGCGTTTTTGAATGTGGTAAATGACAGAAACTTGATATAAATACCAATCATTTTTTCAACGTACAATAAGGAAGAGATAAAAGCAATAAATGTCAAAGAGCGATAAATTAGTATTTCATTTTACTAGTGGTGAAAAGCTTTGAAATGTATCAACAAATTGAGTTCTTTCTTGTTCATAGATTTCTAGCTCTACAGACTGCAACGGGGACTCGAAGGTAGGAATGAACTGATCTTTATATAACTTTTTCTCAATATATGTTCATGTATTCAAAGTTATCAGCTCTACTCATTCTGTTGCGTTATTATTTTTTCTAAAGATGATAGTAAGTAATTGTGTAAGGCCCTGGTTACGTCAGAATATCTCCACCGCTACTTGAAATCTTCTCTAAATACAATACGTTAACTTTTCTTAATCTTATAGGAATTTATAATCAACATTTCTTTGTTAAATTTCAAATTACTGTGTAATAACGGAGGTTCCATTTATCCCCGTAAGAACGCGAACACTTGAAGGAAAGGGGTATTTAATTTAGGCTATTATCAGCCTCGAACAATCTTCTTTGGACAGCTTCAGATGTTCTACTTATTTAGTGTATCATTGAATTGAAAACTTTTTGTTTTAAATGAACTATGAGAAACTAGATGTATTTTGGGTATTTCAGTAAAACTAGTTGAAAAACCAAGGATTTCAAGCTGTACCAATTAAGTAAAACTACAAACAAAAATTCTTTATTAATATTACTTTTAATTATTTTAGTTCGCAATTTACACCTCACGTCTTGTTTCCAGCAATACCTGATTTTTTTTGTTTTCGATTTTTGTTTCCAGAACTAAAAATTAAGTCTTCACGAACAATTAAAAAAAACTATTAGAAAGGAAAACTGAGTATTACTGTGAATTTAACTCTATTTTCAAGACGAACGATGAAAGTTATCGGGAATTGGGATTAATCTCGAAGGACTTATGAAAAGTGATTCAAACTTTATAGTAATTCGACTTTTTTTCCTATAGACCATACAGATAAGATTGAACGTATATAAGCTTGTAACCACAGGAGGAAGTAGTAAACAAAGTGCGTTTAACCACAGGAGGAAGTAGTAAACAAAGTGCGTTTAACCACAGGAGGACCTAATAGTAAACAAAGTGCATTTGTAACCACAGGAAGAAGTAGTAAACAAAGTGCGTTTGTAACTACAGGAGGACCTAATAGTAAACAAAGTGCATTTGTAACCACAGGAGGACCTAATAGTGAACAAAGTGCATTTGTAACCACAGGAAGAAGTAGTAAACAAAGTGCATTTGTAACCACAGGAGGACCCAATAGTAAACAAAGTGCGTTTGTAACCACAGGAGGAAGTAGTAAACAAAGTGCGTTACACATCTTAATATTGAAGATTTTTTGGAGCTTTGAGAGGCTTGCTATTAAAAAGTAACTATAAGTAGAACCATATTTGTACAAAATCAGTACAGTGGAAGGTTAACACTGAACAGCATATGCACATCATAAAAATATCTATATTCTTTTTTAGCTGGGCATTTTAATTCGGTGCAAATAAGTTTATATTTAAAATGTTATTGCTGGATTTGTCATTTGAAGAGTTGTTCTTCCTATTATTAGTGAATTTAACTAACCTGAACAAAATCCGTGTTCGAAAAATTTGGCCACATCTTCGAGCGATTCAACGAATATTTCGATTGAAAAAAAAAACAATTAGAACATGTTTACGAAAAAACAACAACAACAAAAGAATTATGAAGAAATTAGTGCTGAGAAAAAAACACTCCAGTTGATTAATTAAAAGTGTGTCATTAAATATCTAATTAGTGATATTTAAAAGTTAAAAACCAATATATTTGGAGATTTTTATATTTTTTCGTCTCAGTGAAGAGTTTTCGTCGGATGGAAAGACATTGACTCAGATTCGTTGTATTTCGAAAATGTATAGAACCAATATATGAACATATACGAATATCCACACTTTATACTTTCATGTTAGCAAAAGAGACAGCTGACAATCTAGTCAATCTACAATAGAGGTTTTTTTTTTTAAAGTAGTAACACCATTTTTAAAATGTGTCCATTCTTCCCCTCTGGTGTTAAATAACTGCTCCTAAGCTGAATGATTAACTTGTAACTTCTTATACAGGTGATCTGTGTTATCTAAACATATTTAAGCTTTAATTACACGTCAACTGTCAACCAACAGGAAGAAAATGTGACTTAACTGACATTCAAAGAGAATCGATTCTATAAAAGCTAGGTTATTAGGAGCTTTAATTACCCAAATTTTACAACGTCTTAGCTAGGGAAGAGGAATAATATGTTACAACATGGCGATTATCCAATAAGGATCATCAAGTAAATGTAGGCGTGACTGAAAATCATCATGAGTGAACGGTACTTCCTTGCTTTATACCTAATTGTGTTCTCAACGAATAGAGTTTAATTCCAGAGCAAACTTTTCAGGAACATATGGATACTCTACTATAAAGAAATGAAGCAGCTCTAACAGCCAAGGTGTTCACATGTTATTAAGTCACTTCCAGTGGATGTTTCCATTTTTTGTCCAATTCCTGTATATTATGTGACTGTGTCTCTTGACCTTAGAGTTAAATAAGTAACAGTGAGATACGAATATTTCACTATGTGCTGCTATTTTGTTTGAAAATCACAGTAAGCAATTCCTATGAAAAAAAAAACAGGTTATTATCAAAAGCAAAACTATATAAAACACCTATTATACTGAAAAAAAAACACCTATTGTACTAAAATTACTCTTGAAAACCTGCGAAGGTAAACAAGCTGTTCCATTCCTCCTTTCTGAGAAGCTGCTACCTCTTCTTTCTATATTTGCAGCTATTGTTAGGCTAATTTGGTTGTAAGCAACAGAACCAGGTACTCTAAATACTGATAAGGCTGTCTATCGAATAAAGTCAGGTCAGATTAGAATTAATGAACTTTAATCAAATATATCATATTCTTGAGCAAGGAAGCAAATTATGCTAGTATAATAATAGGTAGGCAAGCAACGATTACAAAAATAGATTAATCATTAAGTACGCTTTGTTATTTACCTTTAGAACGTCATTAAGTCCAGCGAACCTAATGGACCAGAAGACGAAAATATCGAATTCCATACTGTTACTCCAGGCAAGCTGCGTGCCAAGAAAATTGACCGGTTGTGTCGGATTGCTTTTCCTTGTGCTTTCCTGGTCTTTTGTGTCGTTTACTGGCCGTACTACTTAATGTAACAACCAGTGATCACACTTCGTCTTTAATTCCTCTTATAGTTTGTATTTAATTAGGTCAGAATTCCTCTGTTATTGGTTAGATAAGCCTATTTTCTAATTAACATAATGTTTTATCTACTGTAGGTAACGTTTTTGCTCTAATTACTTATCGTATCTATCTCTTAAGGTAAACTCAATATATATATACTTTGTATGCCTATAATATATCTGTGCATTTCTGATCATTTCTGGAAATAATGTTTGTACAGATGTAGTAAAATAAGAGTAGCAGATGTATTTAAGGTAAGAGTGAATTATTATTATACATTATCAAATATCTTGTACATCAGTATCTTCTACAGTTCAAAAGTGTATTGCTATTCAGCTAACTTTACGTATATAAGATATTATATTCCTCATTTTTAGGGTATCTGTTCACTTATGTACCTTTATATGCGTCTTTGTGTGTATATATATATATATAGTGGAGTTAACAAACATGGTGCAGATTAAAAATGATCTATTTACGATAAGAATAACTAGAGAAATGTTCAATTCGTTTTATAATGTAAGCGATCTTGTCAAAAGTGGATTCTTCAGGCATTAATTTGGTTCTAAATATGACCTCATTGACGGAGTTACAAATCTAAACAAGAAGGAATCATCAATAGCCGCCGCACTTGAAAGTTTTTTCATGCAGGATTACAGTAACTTAATCTATGATACCTTTGTTTTCCTTTTTATTAGTTATATTTTTGTGCGCCAGCAATACCTAGTGTGGGATGCACGTATACCAGATTGGATTTTATTACTCATCAGGATCTCTCCTAGTCACAGGATCTCTCAAATTGAAATTCTTTTGTTTTTTCAAGTACAAACTTTTAGCTCATAGCTCCGTCATCTCTTGGCCGATTTGGGATCTAATTACAGTTTTCAATTCAGGATGTCAAACCCTTTCGATTGAGGTCTCATAAATTAATTTATTCTAATCCTGCTTGATAGTTCTAACTATGACGCCATAGATGGAGTTACAACTAAAATTAAGAGACAAAACAGGCTGTATTTTAAGCCGCGGCATAGCGGCTCATAGTATGGCGCTGAGGTTCTTTTTTATTGTTGTTTTATTATCGTTTGACGAATCCACTTTGGAAGAAAGTGCTTACAATAAATAAAGAACTAATGCTTTTATGTAATCAATCTAAAGTAAGCTATTCCTATATACATGTATATCAATCGACCTACAGTCTATTTCTCAATTAATTATATGTCATTAATATTGAACAAAATACTTAAAAATGTCACATTTACTTGTCTGTTTGTCTCTGGCTATCATTCTGCCTTTACTTCTATATACGTGCTACATTTGTGTGCAATATATTAGAAGTAATTGTTTCGATATTTGCGGTTAATAAAGTCATTTGAGAAACATTTTTTCAGTAAGTCATTTAGCGACTAAAAACAAAACGTAGTGTTAAACTAATACATGTCAGTGTTAAACTTGTTTGTTTTGGAATTTCGCGCAAAGCTACACGAGGGCTATCTGCGCTAGCCGTCCCTAATTTAGCAGCTAGAGGGAAGGCAGCTAGTCATCACCACCAACCACCAACTCTTGGGCTACTCTTTTACCAACGAATAGTGGGATTGACCGTCACATTATAACGCCCCCACGGCTGAAAGGGCGAGCATGTTTGGTGGGATGCGGATTCGAACCCGCGACCATCAGATTGTGAGTCGAGCGCCTTATCCACCTGGCCATGCCGGGCCTCAGTGTTAAACTAATGTATATCAGTGTTAAATATGAAAGTAAAAGAATTAAAGGATCCCAATCGATTTTCAATAAACATTCACACTAATCTGACAGCATTATATAAATAATAGGCTGAATAGCGATCAAACGGTTATAAACGGCAATAAATAAAGAAAAAGAAAGAAAAGTTATTTTAGTTTCTATGCCGTGTTTATAATTATTAGCAGGTTTTCTGTGCCTATAAAAATTCAAGTACCGATAATGTGAAATTTAACTACATAACGCCTGAGAGGAACGTGTCAAAATAATAATTGTAATTATGTTTAAAAAAAGTTGCTTTATTGCTAATAGAAGAACTTGTATAATTAAATAAGTTACCTGAGTATTATTTAACTCTTTGAAAAATGTTGTCGTTTTGTTATTTTAACTGTTTTCCTTGATTCATTTATTTTTATAAACATGTTTAATACGCCTTTATTTCCTACATATTATGGATTTATTTTAAACACTTAATTTATTACGTATGTGGAAAATAATAATATATTGAGCAAATCTGATTTCAGTTAAGAAGGGACTAGCATTTAAATGCATGTGTTAATGATAAACGTCATTCCGTAGATTTTATGCGTAATGAATTTTATTTTGAAAGCAAAACGTAAGACTTAACACTTATTTGAATGGTGTATAAAATTAATTTTCGTTTCTATATTTTTGTGATGATATTATCCATTATAATGCTATGTTATAAGCTGCCATAAAATGCTGAAGAATACAACTTACCTGCCTTCTAAAATATTATCCCTAATCCCTGATAATGTCTCGTCAAAAATGAGTAAAATTAATACCTTTTTTTTGCAAATTTCCTTTAACAATCGAAATTTAAACAGTTGTGATAATCTTTTTCTTCGTTTTGTAATTATCCATAAACTTATATTCAAAGCGACTACTCACATAGATCAGAATTAAAATTAACCCAGTATTTAATAGCTGATTCAAGAATGGTTTAACCATTAATACGTAATGTCACGAATATCCTGTAATTACTAGAATGTATTGATTCTTCAATTGGGTACTCTTGGTGTTAACGATATTTTCAACCATAATCCAAATAATAACTCATGGGGTTCAACTGGGATTTAGGTTAATCTTAAATACATATAGTACGTTTGTTTGTTTGCTTGTTCATTTTAGAGCAAAGCTCCATTGAGATATCTGCTATTTATATATTTATAAATATATTTTAACTTTTAACAACAAAAATCCCTACTTTCTTGTTTTATATACAACTTCATCCCACACAAGAAATCTGTATTATTTGAAGATGATGAAAACCTTTAGTCCTAGTGAATGAATTACATAGATTTATGTATTCCAGTTTCCTGTGAGGTTGTTTTTTGTATTTTTTAAACTGTAGAATTTATTAGTAGGCAATCATAAGAAATCTTTTTTTTCCTAGAGATAGTTCAATTTTGTTTGTTTGAAGCGCACAGCATCACAATGGGCTACTTGCGCTGTGCCCACCGCAAAAATCGATTCCCGAATTTTAGAGTTAAACGCCCACAAGCTAACCGCTGAGCCACCGGATGGCATATGTAATGTAATTCGTAACATGGGTTCGACAGAATTTTTTATGAATTTTAGTATACACCTATTAACGTGCGTTATGTTTTGTTTTCACAATCAATCACACGAAATGTGAGGGCGAAGAAAACCTCCCCGTGGCTCATGGGTAATTCTGAGGGTTTATAACACTAAAAATCGAGTTTCGATACCTTCGGTGAGCAGAACATAGATAGCCCATTATGTAGCTTTGTGCTTAACAACACATCAAATCATTACTGTTTCTCCTCCCTCCGGTGGCTCAGTGGTAAGTTTGTGGGCATATGAGATTAAAAATCGGGTTTCAATCGTGATTGGCAGAGCATAGATAGCCCATTGTGTAGCTTCGCACTTAAAAACAAACAATCATTATTGATCATTGTTTTTTAAGAAATATTTATCTATCTCTTACTCGTAAAACACTGTTTCACAAGAAAAGCGTCACTGGCTGTTATCTATCAGCTATAAAAGATGGATGATTTACTTGGACTTATCTATCGGCTATTTCTTACTTACACCTTGTTTTCTATAGAAGAGCTTTAGTAGCCTATACTATTAGTAATATATCAGCAAGTAGCTTAACACGAGTGTGAAGAAACATACAAGCCACAAGCTTATGTAAAATTTTGTCTTCAATAATGTAATTGTATCTATAAAAGTTTTGTCAGTAAGTTTTAAAATTGTAATTCTACAGGAAAGGAGTTGAAACAATTAATTATGAAGATAACCGAGTGTTCAAGGTTAAAAAAAGACCTAGAAAATTAGAACTTTCAGAGTTTTTTTTAAATTTGATTCGAAGGTCAATAGGAATATATCTTAGACGCACAGTTACCCATACTGTTGAATAGCTTTTCCACAGAACTAGCTGTCAGAACCAAACCCCTTTTGATAGTATTGAAGTGTATAAGACAAATGACATAAACCACCCACATGTCTTATCCTTCCCAAGGTTTGAAGTTTGACTTTCAGGTTACTTGCTACCGATTTTAACAAATCACATACCTAGAGCATGATTAGATAAGGAGGGATTCTCGAGAGTTTTCGTTGAAAAGTCTTCATCCAACTCTGTAGAAAAGTTTGTCTGTGATGAAAATCAATTTTTGGCGATGGTCAATCGAATCTGTCGGTTCAATACAGCTGTCTAACAAATCTTTATTCTGGAGAAAAAACAACAACAAATGTGCTGTATGTCAAGATCATATGTTGCCTTATGAAATCACTAGGGTTCTTAACGTATACATCATATTTCTCCTTTATTTGTTTTGCTGTCGGAAGAAGAATATATTTCCCTTCCCCCCAGTGGCTCAGCGGTAATTCTGCGTGCTAATAATCGAGTTTCGATACTCGTGGTGGGCAGAGTGCAGATAGCTCATTGTGTAGCTTTGTGCTTATCAATCGACCAGCCAATATCTATTCACCTGGAATTGTTTTGATGCCTAATTTCGAAACTACGAGAATTACGAAGACACGTTCTTCACCACAAAAAGGATCTACTTCACATTACGTTCCAAAGTATTTCTCAATTACATTCAAATGAGAAACTCTTAAATATTTCAACTGGAATGACCGATTTGTTATTCGCACGCCATCTACGTATTTTTGACGCACTAAGATGTGTATAGAAACTACACAGGAACAGCTTTTGACAGTAAAGTTACTAAAACCTTTCTAAACAAAACTGTGACTTAGTAATTATTGCAAGTGATAAAATTGAAAGTGTTTTAATTGGGAATAACTAACTTGTTCTTCTCCATTGATACTCTTTCGTAGCAGCTCATAGTATCATAAGTTAATTAAAAAACAAAACTTCACATACAAAATCACTTTGTCTCGATCTAAACGAAATACTCTTGGCTCACAGTCACCCGGTGGGACAGCGGTAAGTTTACGGAGTTACAACACTAAAATCCGGGGTTCGGTTCCCTATAGTGGACATAGCAGATAGCCCAACGCTGCTTTGCTCTAACAAAACAAACTTACCTGACAAAATGTTGTTCCAAACAACGGTAATAAGAACAATCTTTTAGTAGAAATTGCATGAGAATAATTTGCATTATTTTTTTTCTCTTCTCGCTCGTTTTACTGAAAAAGTGAAAAAATTTGTAAATAAATCTTCAAGTGGCTGAAAATTACTTTAATATAATAAAACACTCATAACGTTTATTACTTAATATATGGTTGAATCTGATATTAACTTGGTATCTTTTAATGATACTTATATAAACTAATAAGTTTTATATCAGAATGAAATATTAAAACGCCCACGACATCCACAAATAAGGATTAAAAAAACTTCTATATAGAAATTTAAAGTGTAGATCCAAATTTAAAAATTCCAGCATCTACTGATAAAAATATGGCATGAAGTTAATGACATAATTAGCTATTGATAGATTTTTTTGCCACGTGATAAAACTGTTAATGTATAAAAAACATACAGGCGAGTGGCTGTATTTAGTCATTAGTTCTTAATTACCAAAACTTGTAGCAACATTACATCGATATGAGT